GGGGTGGCTGCGGGGCCTGAGGCTGAGGCTGAGGCTGAGGCTGAGGGTGTTTTTTTTAGATGCCACCCCAGACGCTGTCTCACTTCCACAACAGACAGCCTATTTACTCAGTGACGCCTGAAATTAAACGCAGGACTTTTTAGCTGTATTGGTGTGGAAAAGATGTCGTGGATTTGGCTCCAGAGTCGACTGTGGTGATGGCCAACGGTACAGCAGCAAAAAAAACAACAAAAAACCCAAACAACTTATGGTTTTGAAAATGAAGTAAATGCTTGTGTTTGTTTATTTAGTACCCCAATTACTGCTGTGTACCCCCGCAGACAGTGTGTGTCGTTGTGCTGGAGGGGGCGCTTCATCTGTGACTCCGACGCTGTCCTGTCCGTGTGCATCTTCATCAGGAATGCAGGAATTGTGAGGTCATGGAAGCATCTGCCAAGAGCAGGAAAAAGACACAGACCCGAGCCTGTGCACTGTGTGTGTGTGTGTGTGTGTGTGTGTGCCAGTTCCGGAACGTTCAAGTCCCAGTGCTGGAAACCAAGACTTTTGGGTCAAAAACGGACTCATTATTTTCAAAAACACACATTACGTCCCTGAACTCCCCCCACGTCCATCCCCTCACCCTCTTCTATTCTCATTAGCCAGTTTCTGAGCAAATTCCCCTCATCCTCCTCTCCCTCACTCCCTCCCTCCCTGCCTCCCTCTCTCTCTCTCCCTCTCTCTCTCTCTCTCTCCTCACCCCCCTCTCGGCTCTAAGTGCTGCAGCCCACCCTGCTCCGAGCTCCAGTGGTACATGCCATCAGAAAGCCCATCTTTGGATGGGAGGAGGGGGAGCACGGTCTCAGTCCCATCTCAGAGGCTACTTTAGTCGCCCCCCCCCACCCCCTCCAACAGAAGCTCAGTCACAGACGTCTCTGTGCGCCTGGAGCTGCCCTCACGCGTCACGGAGCTGCCGCGTTCACCGAGCTCGGCAGACGGGAGAGGATTAGAGACGGACGAGCGGATACGAAGATAGACGAAGAGGACGAGGAGGCGTCGGAGGCAAAAAGGAAGAGTGGAGGAAAGAAAGAAAAAAAAAAGAGCCGAGAAATCTAAAGAGAACAAACACACACGTCGCTGACTGACGTCTGCCCACCCGCGCGCCTGCAACACAGAGATGGGAGGAAACTGAAGCCCACGGTTTCGCTTTTTCTTTTTTTTTTTTCTTTTTTTGAAAATCACATTTTCCCACTTGATCTAAGGCATGTTGGCGGCTTTCAGCTGCAGAATTACGGCAGGAGATGCTGTGAACGCCGACCCTCAGTCACCCACCGACACGCAGCAGGGACAAACACTGGATTTCCACAATGAATGAATGAGAGTTGTTTCTGCCGCATGCGCTGGGAATACAGTCTGGAAGTGAAGTGTCTGACTGAGGTAGGAATCATGGAATCACACTTTATTCCCATCATCGCCACCTCTGAGCACCTGCTCTGGTCAGCAGGGTCATACTGAGAGCTGAGGGGGAGTGGGGTGGGGGGGGGGGCACTGACACAGATGGACCCATTTCCATGCTGATCAGGTTCGGAGCACCAGAGGGGAGATTGCCATCTTTGTCCCAGTGTTGCTGCGTGCACAGCAGTGGAAGTGAGAGGCAGAAATCCGTGCATGTTTCATGCTGCAGGGAGGCACAGATGGGGGGAGGCGAATAAAGGGGTTGGGGGGGGGGGGGGTGGGGGGGGGGCGGGCTGTCTGAGGGGGCCTAG